GATGTAGCCCTTATCAGGCAACAGAGGTTTTATATAAGTCCCCTGATTCTTAGAACATGAAGGCGTAGTATTCAAGTTTGGTCCCTTGAAACCACAAATTTTGTGAAAAAAATTAAGAAAATTGAATAATTTCCTCATCAAATATGTATTGATCATCTGTTATACAGCCATGAGAACTGGTTCTGTTGAACATGTTTATTTTATCAGATCCCAATCCTAAACCAGGCATAGAATGGAAACCATGAAGATAGGATGGAATAACTTCTGAATGTTTGAAAATAGAGGACTTAAAAATAACTATCAGGTGTTTTTGTTTTGTTTTTTTGTTTTCCTGGTTTTTTTTGAGACAGGGTCTCACTCTGTCACCCAGGCTGGAGTGTGGTGGTGCAATCTCACCTCATTGCAGACTTGACCTCCTGGGCTCAGGTGATCTCCCACCTCAGCCTCCCAAGTAGCTGGGACTACAGGCGCATGTCACCATGCCAAGCTAATTTTTTATATTTCTTGTAGAGACACGGTTTTCACCATGTTGCCCAGGCTGGTCTAGAATTCCTGTGCTTAAGCGATCCTCCCACCACAGCCTCCCAAAGTGCTAGGATTACAGGCATGAGCCACCACGCCTGGCTGAAAATACCAGGTTTTTAAGTATCAGCACTACCTCTTCAATCTTTTCTATTACCATGTTGTCCTCAATGGTATTTTTTATTTAATTAGAGCAGTGCTGTTCAATAGAACTTTCTTTGAGGATGGCAATCTTTTATGTCCCTGCTGTGTGGCACAGAGCCACTAGTGACATGTGGCTTTTGAGCACTTGACACATCTTGTGCAGCACAGGAACTGCATTTTTAAGGAATTGATGCGCCACACGTGGCTACTGTATGGGCCAGGGTTGGACTGGATGATCTGTAAGGACTCTGCTTCATCAGTGTCATTTTTTAACTGACAGAAACCTTTAGTTTGTTTTTTAAAAAAGCAATGTGTTCATTTAAAAGAATTCATAAAATACAAGTAAATAAATTAACTGATTACCTAAGCATATATCCTTCCAGACTTATTTTTTCTGCATATGCATTTTGGAAAATGGAATATCTGCCATTTTTTAAATCTGAGGTATGGTCTACCTCTAAAAATATATGATTCTAACATTCTCACTTTTGTTGACATCTGATCAGGGTATAGAAAAACAGTTAAAGGATAGAGGATAGTTGAGAGATTATATGAAGAGAAAATGTGATCGAGTGTGGTAGACTTGGGCCTACCTGAATGTCGAGAGAACGACTGTTTTCCAATAAGAAAATTCCATTCGAGGATCCTAGCAGGAAGGTCTGCTAAGTTCACTGCAGAAAGCAAGCTGCATAGTACTAAGCCACTAAGGGGACATGGAGCCAGGACTTCCTACTTTGGTAATATTCTCATCATGCCCCTTTGGGATCCCAGCCTTGTTGATTAGCCTCTCTGCTTTCTCTCTATATAGTTCAAGCTACCTGTTTGTTCCCAGCAGTTCTTTTCCAGCCCATTTATTATGCAGTTCTGTATAGCTTTTCCTCCTCTTTTCTTATACCATGCTGCGGTTCTTATTGCTACCTAGAGGTTTTCAAAATTCCTAGGGGCGGACAAGTGGCATAAACAAAGGTCTTCCCTATTATCCTTCTTATTTTTTCACCGAGACTGAAGAGGTAGACAAAATAGAAATAAAGACATTAAGGGTATGTGTTTGTAGTCCCAAAGAGCTTCTCTGGCGATTTTATGTAGTTGACGGTGACATTCTGAGTTCAGGACAGATTGGACTCCCTGGCTGACAGGAGTGAGGAGATAGGATGGTAGAGGAGAGCGTAGCGCAACTCTGGAGGAAGCTTTCCCCTTCCCTGTGCCAGTCCTGTTATCCCAGACTTCACCATAATTAAAGATGAGGGAGGCACTCAGTAAAGGGACCTAGTGGGAAGCTTGATCCAAACAGCCAAGGAAGGAGGTTCGCGCAGTTCCTTTGGCCACCCGGGGGGGTAATCGATCCATGGATGCCTTTCATATACAATTTAGGCACTTATACGTGTATTTCAATGTAGTGAACTCTACCATTACTCTTAAATTAATATTCTTTATTAGCTTCCATGGTGGCTATAGGCCAGGCAAGAGAGTTAAGAAGATATCAATAGCCAGGTATG